ACATTTGGAGCAAAAAGCAATTCCAATCCTTTGAACTTCAGCATCCATTGTAACCTTTCTTCTTAATAATTTCCAACCGAAAAAACTTATTTTTGTAGGAAAGGTGTTCCGCCATAATTTTTTGAAAATAACATTGGAATTCCCCCTTTGCCTCACAACTTCCCAAGCTGATTTCATGGTAAAGTAGTTATCTACGGTAGGGAGCCATACTAGTTTATCATCTCTGTTTGACAACTGAATCCCAAAGGCAATAATCTCATTAATCACTTCAATAGGAATTGAAGTAGATCCAAGACTTCAGACAAGTCCCAAGTACCATCTGTAGATAGAAAGTCCTTTAGTTTAGTTTCAGATACGAATTAATTTGGTTCACGGAAGATCTAGCCACTAAAAGTCGGAGCGCCGAAAGGACATGAGAAGCCCATTTTGGGCTGATTTCAAGAAGCTCCAAATGAAGCTTTTCGCGTCTTTCGTGTTTTATTCTCGCATGGAAAGACATGCATCTGAAACTAGCTTCGGGCTGATCAGATCTTCATGCAAAAGCTGAATGCGTCTTTTAACTGTTAGAGCTACTAGAAGATCTTCCCAAAAAGACTTTCCAAACGGACCCCAAGTAAATAACTTTGGACAAAAACCTAAAGGTGAAGGGAATTTTTGTCTTTTTAATATCATATACTTAACGTCTATTAATAGTTTTGGACCAACTTGACAGTTTTTGGAAGTTTAGGTATTTTAGTGACATGATTTGAAGTTCGGGCACTAACTTGAGACTATTCCTAAAGTACAAGGTACTAATTTGGAATTTTTCCTTATAAAAAAATGAAAAGACATGAAGATGAGTACCTAGAAAGACTAAGGTGGCATTTGGCAAGCCTTTCTGTGTGGTCTTTTAGGCTTCAACAAGCTCGAAAGACTGAAATTCGGGTTGTTTTTTTTTTTCATTTGGTAACCAAAATCTGAAAAGATGAGAAGATGTGTTAGCAAAAAGACTCGAAAAGACTGAAAACGCTAAATTTCAAGAAGCTCCAAATGAAGAATTCTAGTCTTTCTGCATGATATATAGCCTCTACGCATTTTTAAAAGCCTGGTAGACCATGCCACTTACAAAACGGTCTTTGTCTTTATAGACAAGATCCCAAAAGCTCACTATGTCTTTTGGCCATCCGGGCCGCTAAAAGATCTTTTTAAAAATACTTGCCAAACGACACCTAAAATAATTGAAAGTTAGAAAACTTCAAATAAAGCTTTTGGTCTTTCTCCAATCAAATATCATTCTAATCCATTTTTAAAATCTTGGTGGATCAAGATATTTACCAAACAATTTTAGGCCATGTTTGGGAGCACTTAAAAATAAGTGCTTATACATAAGCACTTATTTAATTTTTTTCTTCCAAAATTATCCCTAGTTGAATTTTAAAATACCACTTATAAAATTATCCCTAGTTGAATTTTATAAAAGTACTTTTATGAAAGCACTTTTATAAAAGAACTTTTACAAAGTACTTTTATGAAAGCACTTTTATAAAAGTACTTTTACAAAAGCACTTTTAAGAAAGTACTTCTATGAAAGCATTCTTACAAAAAACACTTTTATAAAAGTACTTTTAAGAAAGTACCCTTACAAAAGCACTTTTATGAAAAATACTTTTACGAAATAAAAGTGCTTTCATAAAAGTACTTTCATAAAAGTGCTTTCATATAAGTACTTTTATAAAAGTGCTTTTATAAAAGTATTTTTATAAAAGTGCTTTTATAAAAGTGTTTTTTATAAAAGTACTTTCATGAAAGTGTTTTTTATAAAAGTACTTTCATGAAAGTGTTTTTTATAAAAGTACTTTCATGAAAGTGTTTTTATAAAATTGATTTATTAAAAGTGCTTTCAAAAGGTATATTTTGAAAATTTAAAAGAAAACGAAGGACAAAATAGTCACCAATGTTTATTTAAGTTCTTATTAAAGAAAAAGACTACCAAACACTCAATATAAAATAAGTGCTTATTTAAAAAATTAAGCACTTGAAAAAGTTGGGTGCCAAATGCAAATAAGTGCTTATTTGAATAAGCATTTTTAAGCACTTATTTTTAACTTAAGCACTCCCAAACATGGCCTTAGTCTTTAAAAACCAACTCTAAAAAGCTTAATATTGTATTTGTTTGGAACCATGGACATTTATTTACTAAACGTTTTGTACTTGATTTGTTTGGAAAATCGGGAAAAGTAATGATGAACCCATTTGTTGACACTTAGGTGCTACATCAACAAAACAGTGAATAAATGCCTACCCATTGTAGGAAGCGCTAAAATGAAGTTTTCCCCAACAATAGGCATGCACATAAACTAAAGTCTACTTTTACAAGTCCCTATGTGTTCGGATTTACATAATGGGGGAAATGATGAAGTGGTGCGTATATAACAGTGTTTATTTAATAAACGCCCACGGTTCCAAACACCCTCAATTAAGGATCAACCTAGGCCTAACCCTAACACTAAAACATTGGATTCGGGCCTGGGCAGGTTGGTCAGGTTTGAATGTATTATTTGAAAATTCTCTAATTCATTCTTCTATTCTTATTTGCAGTCCAATTTAAGAGTAAAATGGCTTGAAAATGCCCACAAAATGTCATTAATACATGCATGTGTATAAAATGCATATATAGCACTTGTTTATCAGTTCATATTTGTGCATGGGTATGAGTTTAAGAAAGTCATGTACATATCGTAACCCAAGTTGCAATTCTACCTTAAAAAAAAAAAAAATTGAAAAAGGGAAATTTTCGAACAAAAAAAAGATATGCAACCCTGTTAAAAAAAATACGTACGAAAAAATGCAGAGCTGTATTTTAGTCGAAAAAGGCAAAGGGATTCCAGCATGGATTTAAGCGCCAATACATAAAAAAAGAGAAAAAACAATGCTTTAAACGAAAGGATCGGCTTGGCATCCTTTGCTTTGAAGTCATTTGCACGTATAGGAAAAATAATCAACCCACAGATGACTAGGCCAATCTTGCTTCTGATACTCCTCATCTCTTCAACAACATTAGGACTAGGTTTTGCTGAGTTTGAAAATGGCTATGAGATTTGTTCACTGATTTATTGTGTTACTGGATTGATCCTCTGGCACTTAATTCTTCTCTGGGATAAGCTTTTAAGATTCCCCTTTAATTTTTTTTTTTTTTTTTTTATATTTGAATTTAATATTGCTGCACCTCCACCTTGAGTATAATTGAGGGTTTGAGAAAAGAAAAGCTTTGGTTGAGTCTATGTTTCAGCATGTGAATCAAACAACCGAGAAAAAGAAAAGAGATGTAGTCTGATCACTATAGACGGCCATTCCCTTTATATACAGATGACAAGAGAAGGGTAAGAGGAAAATTGTGGGTGACTTTACTTTTCTTGTAGGGTTTTTGTTCTTTTTCGTGTGCGTGTGTGTGTGTGTCGGGGGGTAGAAAGATATCACCGTCAAAGCCTATTGCTTTCATGCTTTAATTCCAAGGTTAAATCCTTGAAAGCTCATACCCATGCCAATGCACCTCCATTTGGCAAACCCCCAATATTAATTTACTCCCATCCAGAGAAGAAGAAAAGAAAGAAAGAAGATAGTTTATTTTATTAAAATATAACTGTTGTCATCTGTGACTATGTTGTGGTATATATAGCATGAGCGACAACGTAACAGGCCACTTCAAGTAAATGGATAAAAGGCTCCTCCTCGTTTCCTTCGAACCCACGCAGAAACAGAAAGAAGAATGTTTAATTGATGGGCTGTAAAGAAGGGAAGCAGCTTTTCAGGGGAAGAGAGGCCAAGAATTGCGATTAAATAACAAGTGTTCATCTCTTGGAGCACTATACACAATTAATATTCATATTCCTGCTTAGGGTTATATATTTATTTAAAAAAGCTCAGGCACGACACAACTGTTTGGGAGTTTTGACAATTCCGAATCCGTACAGTTTTGCAGGGAGGGTGGGGGGCACATGACATGCCTGGCCCCTAGCTGCAACGTTTACTCCTACAGCTTCCTTCGATTCGATTCCTTTGGGCTTAATTAGTAGAAAACATCTATCATAACATTCTTGACTGTTATTCATTTATTTATTATAATTACCTACTAATATAATCTTACGTATTCAGATTATTCCAGTAAGTTTTTCATTAAATAATCTCAACTTTATCTGTATTCCATAACAATTAACGTGTAGAGGATGAACTACATCTACATATATATAATCTTCAAGCCTAATCTGCACCGCTACCGAACCCGGCCTTTCCTTCTCAAGCAGGGGTTGGTTACTTGGTTTCTTTCTGATTCTGATCAAGCAATTGTCATAAATTAATGGGGAATGAAGAAGGGGACCCTCCCTTATTTTTGATGATCCACATAGCCCACGTAGCTAGCTTAGGCGTATAAGCCCTCTCCCAAGCACCCAAGAGTACCCAATGTTGGAGACCCGCCGGATCGAGAGGCCATATATAACAATTAACAAACCAGGAAGAATGACCATCTGATCGCCTAAACCAGGAACAAACCAGGAAGAAAAAGAGCAAAATTAAATTCTTGCCTTAGTGGTTACGACGCCAATTGACTGGACGACGTGCTCTATCCAACTTATTAACTATTATTTATATATCGGTTCGTTGGACGTCTCTGGTTTGCCTACTACTACTACTACTACTGCTACCCTTATTTGTATAATCGATCGATCGACATCAGAACCTTGTTCTTCCCTTCTTCTGTCCGAGTTTATAAGTTTCTTAGGCTAGCTGGATTCACCCCCTTAAAACTTAGAGTTAATGGACACCTTTTGAAGAAAGAGTCTTTATAGTAATTTTGTCCTTCAAAACCTGGCCCTAGCTGCTTCCTACAAATTTCAAATTTGTATTGTATGTGGCAATTCGCCTTAAGCCTTTACTGCCGTATAGAAAGGTATCTTCTTTTTTCCATCTTTTTTTTTTTTTCTTCTTCTTTTTTCATAAAATGAAAGAACAGGTAGGAGTACTATATATTGAACATAACCGACTGACCACCGTCTCTCTATCATCCTCTCCCTCTATCTCTGTCTCTGCTGTACCTATTCCATCTCCCACAAGCTTCCAAATAAACAGAATTAATAGAAAGTGAGAATTGCACGGTTTCTTCTTGTTTGCATGTTGAGATCATAAATGTGAAGATGAGATGAAACAACAATCCCACGCATATTTTCTCCATGGCTACCTTCTCTGCCATTCTCCTTGTTCCTAGTTTAAGACGTGATGATGATCACCAAGGCAACAACAAGGGATTCCTTCTCCCCATTTGAAGAACCCTTCCTCAACGTAACCATCGATGGGATTGAATACAAAATACAAGGGAAGAATCAACGCCGGCGATTTTGGTTTCTTGGTTGTCCAATATGACAATGGTTCCTTCTGCTGAAAGCCTCCTTATTAATCATCCACACCACGACGCTTATGGTGATGATTGTTACTCGGACAACTGCGTAGGTCTTATGAGGAGCCGAATATCAGGGCATGATCCTTGTCGTAAAGCCTGCTTAGAATCCGAAACCGATCTGGTGGTGGTTGGTCACATGGCCGAAAACAACTCTAGAAACAGTAGCCTGAACGAAGCGGGCTCCAGCTCCAAGGACGTCCAACAAGAGAGAGATGAAGGTTGGCTTCAACTGGGAATCGGTGATTACGTGACTGGTCGAACCGACACCAAGCTTGTTCAGGTGGAACCAACAACGCCAAGAGTCGGATTGGTAGAGCTGGATCTGTTACCACCTAGCGGCGGCGGTAATTGTAGTAGTAGCAGCAGCAGCAGCAGTACACAACGGGTTAAGCCTGCAGTATTAGCAGATCCTCTCTTCCATGTGAGCGAGTTTAGAGTTCCTCCTCGTCCAAGTAGTGCTAGTGGTTTCATGGGTACACCCTTGTTCTTCCCACGCCAGAGGACCACCAGCTTGGGTTTTCCTCAACCGGAGGTCCCATGGGGATATAGGCTTAACCCATGGAATCCTACACCATCGTCTTCTTCTTGTTCTGCGATGATGTTACCTGGAACTTATCATGCCCGACAGTTCCAACAACAACCGGCCATGGACGCCGCTGGTCCAAGCTCCGACATTATTAGAGTCATCGAGCCTCCTCCGAGAACGCCTTCCGGTGTTTGGTTCGTTCTCCAAGCATCGCAAAATCAGTAAGTAGATGGAAGAATGACAATGAAGAAATGGAAGAAAGCTTAACTAGACTCTCCAGCTCCTCTTTATTTTTATTAGTATCACTTCAAATTTCTAATTAATATATTGCACTTGGTTAATCAATTAATGCAGAGCAAAAGAACCTTTCTTGCCCCAGATACCCAAGAGCTACCTAAGAATCAAGTAAGTTTGTCAACCTTTCTCTTCTTTCCTTTTTTATTTTCTGTGTACTATGTTAAATTCGTGAAAGTAAGCCAAAACCTTAAAAACAAAATTTCTTTTAATGAAAGCATATCTTTATCTTTTTCCCCTAAACTTTAATGTTTACAGAGATGCGAGAATGACAGTTCGGCTGTTGATCAAGTATCTGGTTAACAAGCTCAGACTAGAACACGAATCAGAGGTACCCAAAACTATCTGTACAGCTGTTTTAGTACTTCCTAAATGCTCATAGAAAATTAGAAAATTGTTGCTGTGTTAGCTTTATTTGTCGTTCTGCTTCTTACCGATTTTGCATACTTAAATCACACCTCACTGATGCAGAAGAATTGGCAAGTTAATAGCTAGCATTAGTTACCTCAAAGTAGCTAGGAGAGACCGAAAAAAAGACAAATTAAGCCAACTATCTCTTCAACCCGGTTAGATAAATGCATGCTTCTTGCATAAATCTAACATTCTGGATGATGGAAACATGAAAGAAACTGCAAAACTAAAAGGAGGCTTTCCAGATCCAGAGGCATTTATTCCTTATTATAACATTATTTTTAGGTGGCATTCGCATTTCTAGGTGAGCTTCAATCTGTTTTATAGGATTGTCAGATCATATAATCTCACGAGGTAAGATGGCATCGAGGGCAATTGATTGATCACCTAATTAAGAATCTGATTTTCTAACGTTGTCGTAAATTTCATCTACAGTTTATTATCAATGTCTCAAAGATAGGGTTTAGGTGGAAGGGTTAAGTTGAGATAGTGAGCTTTTACTGTTTCCATTAACCCATTATATACAGGAAAATAATTTGTTTCCTCCTCCTGACCTGCTACTATACATGTATTTTAATTGGAAGAAGAGTGAAAAGAAACCCTTAATACTACTACTGAACCGAGTAATTAGTAATTACAAAATTTTAGTTGCTTTGTTTTTCCTTATTAGAGAGAGTACCCTAAAGAATAGTCCAACATGATATACGGGAAAACAATACACGCACAAAAAATAAAATAAAGGTAAAGAAATACAGGAGGAAGTTAATTAAATGTTAGAAAAACCATTATGTAGCATTTGGTTTATAGCTATTAGAAATTGAAAAGGCAATAACTCATAAATAACAAACTAAATTTCACAACAACATCTTAACAGAAACCGACATACAAATATTGTTTGCTCATAGACTCATGGAAGCTAAAAAATCTGCATTATTTTTATGAGACTCCTACTAACAAAAATATAATTAATATATTTCTAAATATAGTGGGAAGAAAAGGAGCTTAATATATACGAGCATTTCATAAATGAGCTTAATTAAGGCTTCTTTTGCCAAGTAGTGACACAACTCTAGACCGTTTAGTTTTGTCTGGTTCATTTTAAGACCCTCTTCGAGATCAAGAAATCCTTCAAGACTAAAGAATTGCAAATCTTGTTGTTTTCTATATATACTGCAACCACATTATTGAAATTAATCCGTTGATCTAGCTAGCATTCTTCTTTCTTTGCCTTTTATTGGCTTCTGGTGTCACCAAACATTCAATGAGAAGAAAGAGCACTGCTAGTAAACCAGAAGTAGAAACGCGGATCCTGAGAAATGAAATAACAAAAGCTCCAAGAGATGGAAATACCCCCATTCAAGCATGTATAAAAATTTACATAATAGTGGGCTACCACCATTGTTTTTCTTACCCTGGTTATGATAAGATTTGGCGTTTTTTAGTCGCTTCGATGAGGAAAGAGTTTTGTTCCCCCCCCCNCCCCCAAAGGATTGATTAAAGAATGTCTGTCTTCATATTATGAAATTTGACTGCTCTTCCTGCTTTTGATTCCAATGGAAAAATAAGATAAACTTGAGAAGATAATGTATATGAATTCCATATAGAACTTTAGGGAACAGGGCGGGATTAAACATAAACATCTATTTGGATCCATAGTGCACACATGAGAAGATAATGTATATGAATTCTTTTATTTAAAGTACATTGATAGATTACTTTCAAGGGTGTCCAACAGTCCAAGTATATATGAATGTAGTATACCATTACCTGAAGAACCTTAGAGATTTAGGTCCAAGAGATGGGTTTCCACCTTTTTGATCTTCTTCTTCATATGAGAATATATTGATGTATATGAGGGGTATACAGGATTAATTCCGACTTTTTTTCTTGACTAAAATTCTTTTCTGAATTTCTTTTATTATCCATATTCTTTTATTATCCATATATTATTATTCACTAATGTTGGATTCGATTGTGCTTATTTAACTATCACAGGAACAGAAATAATGAATTATATATATATATATATATATATATAGTCGCCTTATTACTCTCATAGTTAGGTATCGATTTTTTGCCTCCCCCACATATACGAGGAAAAAAACAAAAGAAAAGACAGTATCCTCCCCACGAGAAAAAATTAACGTAACGGTTTAATTACCTTCATCAACTTACTTGGTGCTGTTTAGTATTATCATTTCATCCATTTGTATATATGGCGATTTTATAAGAACCATGCACCTTCCATTTTTAGTCTTTTACGAAATCATTCTTTACTAAACCTTGAACTTTATTTTCCTTTTTGTTTTTTTGTGGCCAACTTATGCAAGTATATTTACATCTTGAAGCAAATTCAAATCGATTTGAAAGAGTTTGAATGGTTCTTGCTTATTTCCATAAAAAACATCCGAGGTTAAAAACTCACGTTAACTTCCTTTTCCCTGACCGAAGATAGTTAGAATTCGATATTCCCTACTTAGAAAATAAGTTATATATAAGCATTAATTTTTGCTATGTTATAACCTTACTTGTTTTTTTAGTTCTATACATTCTCTCTCTACTTATGGCCTCCTCTCAGGCCAACTATATTTGTTTCCAATAATAATATAATAATCAAATAACAAACTCTGCACATTAACGTACGAACTGTTGTTGAGAATGATTCTGTTGAGTCATTGTAAGCAATTTTATGCTGACATTACATGATATGAATGGCTAACTTTTTTCAGCCATATATGCATGCTATGGGGGATAATAGGTTTTGGGGTTGTAAAACATAAATAAGTATCGGGAGACTACTAACTCTTTTATTTTAATAAATTGGTAGGAATGTAGGTAGATATTCCTGTTGTTTCTTGGAAATTAATTAAATCTGCGAAAAGGTATCTTATTTGTCCAAATTGAACTAAAATAGTTTCCTTCATTTCTTTCTACTTACTAAAATGAGTTGGTTCAAACACCTATTAAGTAATACCTACCCAAGATATATTTCAGCTAGCCATAAGCAACAATAATGAATAGGTAGTTTGAACGTTAGATATTCAGAAAGTATAAATTCTTCACCTAATTACCTACGCATGGTGGTGGCAGTTAGTGGAGAGTTCTAATTAATTAATATATATATATATATAATACAAGTAATTAGGATGTAATCTATGCACACTCAACATTCCATTTATATATAATGAATTTAAAGCATTTGATATATAGTTTGTTATTGAGGTCAACTCCTTGATTAGCATGATGAATTTGGAACTCTTTATATTTTTATATATATATGTACATATGTGGGAATCAAGTATATATGTATTGCCATATCACTGGGGAAACTAGAAACTCGTACCTTGCAAGCATGGCATGAAACTAAATGCCCAGTTATTTACATCTTTAAGTGGAGATCCATCTACATGCATTAAACGAAGCAAGTTTGCACTGATTATCGTCTTCCTCCCCACTTTCTCTCTCTCTCTATATATATATATCTTGCACAGTCATCTTCTTGGTGGGTGGTGGGTGATTAATAATTTAATTTCAAATCAACCCAATTTATTAAATTTTGAACTTGATAATATATGTAATTATTTAATGAATGATCGATCATTCATTGTTTTGAGTGTTCACACTTAAGAATAGTTTCTCAAAATAAAGTGATTTTTTTAGTGTACCTTGTAATGATTAGACGCATTGCATGAGAAGCATTCAATTCACAAATTTCCCGAGGATATATCAAAAGCAGTATAGGACAATCATCAATGCTTAAAAAAGCAAAGGAATGTCTTCAATGCAATGTTGTCTTCTTTATTATTTATTTTGTTTAAAAAAGAAAAAAGAATTAAAGTCCACATTCCACATAGATGCATGCATCATCCATACAATTAATACATCCATACATGGAGTGCATTGACTTTGAGGTCTGCACGAACATGTTCAACTCTGATTAATGTAGGTCTGTTGACATTAACCTCTCAAATCTTATCTCAAGGACAATATATATACTAGTATCACACGTGGGTGCTGTCTTCTTCTGATCTCTCTACATCTATCCGTTTACCTTACAGCCCGTCCTGGTCACACACAGGGAGCATCTTCTATACTTGCACTTATTATTTATGGAGAAATATTCTCAATACAAGATGGGATGTGGTTGTGAGATTGGTATAAGGCGCATTCTATGAGGAGCAGATCTCAATTCCTATATATCTACCTGCATGCTTTCATGCCTTCTAAACACCTTTCTATCGTCACGCTTTCACCCAATTCAACTAGTAATTTCCAAATTCCAACAACTAATGTAGACCCTACAGACCCTCTCTCCCCACCCCCTCAAAAGGATATTGTGCTTGGAAAAGACCCATTAAAACAACCTCAAGTGCTGCACTTTGTTGGAATATTAAACACTCATCATCTCATCCACAACTTACCAATAAAAAAAATACAAATATTTTACGTTGGACAAAAGAAATGCATGAAGAATAATCTTCAAGGAATCATTCCTAGATGGTGATTGGTGAGAGCAGAAGAGGGAGTGGAAGATAGATGGAACCACACATCAACAAACAAACATTTTATTTCTTATTCTTATGTTGGTTAATGGAATGCATGCACATTACTTTATTGATTTATCTCTCTTAATGTGAACAATCCCCCTCCCCCTCTTAACATAAAAACCAAGTGGTCTTGTAGGGTATTCAGACTTTGAAAGAAAAACCAGGGTAGTTCATGGAAGGAATATTGACCTTCTTAGCATCCAATAATAAAGAGAGAATATAGGTAAGACAAGAGAGGAGAGAGAGAATAGAACGTGAAGGAGACGTGCATGAGATTGACATGGTAAGGTATAAAAAAACCAAGTAAAAGAAAAATGGTGCCGATTCCACGCCGTGCTTTTTGGATCCGTCAATTATTATTATTATTATTATTATTATTATTATTATTATTATTATTATTATTATTATTATTATTATTATTATTGTTGTTGTTGTTGGTTTTATTGGGCTTTTTGTATTTTGTTGGTTAAATCTATAGACTATAGTACCTGTTAATCATAAAACTAAAGTCTGAGGGTTCATGATTTTGGCTTACGAGCAAAGTCTAAGTGGGGGACCCGAAAATGATCATTAAGCTCGGGCAGTTTGAGAATGTGGAACGGGCAACCTCGAACGGTTGGGTTCCCTTGCTGACCGCCTGACCGAAACATTAGCTCCTTAGAGGAATCTCTTGGAGTAAAGGAAAAAAGTTGGGGTCTTTGTCTTTGGGTACACAAACCAATTTGATGATGATGATAGTGGCCTGATGGATGGATCATGGATCATTGACCATGGATGGGTATTGGGTAAAGCAAACGATACAACTTGAAATTCAATACGTCATCTCGTGACTAAGCATGACTTCAGTATTAAGACAAAGCAATATGACCCATCTCATCATCCCCTACTCCCCCTCTACTATTAGCTAGCCAGTCGCACTCTCCTTCCTATCAATGTCCCATGATCCATCTTAATAATTACCTACCTCCATATGATCATAATCAGACGGTAACAATGACAAAGGTTGATGATCATGTTGCGATGAGGTGTGGGTATCATCTATTTTAATTTATTGTTTGATTCTGGATTCGAATTGAGCAAGTGCATAATAATAATATACATATACAGTCATTTCATCAATTCCTGTTTGATTGTAGATTTGAATATGTAATTCCTGTGGATGAATGATGAATGAAAACAGGTAGAGATAACATGTAGAGGGCGGCAGCTTCTACCTTTCATGACTTTGCAACATGTACGAGATAACATTTGGACTTCCACTTCCAGGGATCCACTTACTTTGCTTCCAGATTCCTCAACCATGGACCATCTCATGATTCTCAACTATGGTAGGAGTGCTTAAATAACTATATATATTAATCCCTCCTCCTCCCAAGTCCCAACATGATGTTTTGTATAATTTAAAAAACTGAAAGAATTAAAACCCGCCTTCAATTCTTTTTTTCTTTCTTTTTCTTTTTAGCTTTTTTTTTTCTTTTATTTTGTTTCTCTAATTCATTGAGGAAAAAAAAGGTTGGAAATACATCAACTTTTATAATCAGCAATTAATGTTCTACAACTAATAATAATATTTATGATTATGATGTACTTCCAAGCCATCACGGCTTCATGTGTTTTTTTTTACTAATTCCATTGCAGATTTGCAGTTACGTACTGTGCTTACAGCTCCAACTATATATTCTCTTGTTATTCTTCTTACACTCTTTCTCATTTTCTGAAAAGGTAGAGATTGTAAAGGCAATCAAACCTAAACTAATATTCTGATACGAGGGCTATGAGTCTTCAACGGTCCAACCCATTCAACCCGAACCGAGTTGATTTTTCTTTTTGTTTTTTTTTTTTTTTTTTAATCTCCTCTGGTTGGGTTTTAAAACATTGGTTAAGGTTTCGTGGCTTACCCATTTTGGCGAGAAAATGAGTCGACTTACTTGAAAACACCCTTTCTTGATTTTTGCATCAGGAAACAAAGAAACGATCACACCATGCACGCACAGATAGACTAACACAATCGTCATAGTTCAACAACAGTACACAATATCAGTGGTTCGTTCAGATCGGTCACTAAAAAGTATAAGAGGGATTAGTGGTTACCATTTTTTTTTTATCAAAATCATTATACCACCAGGTTTAAGGTAAAACGGACCTATATATTTCTTCTTCCCCAGGGGACGGGTCAAAGAGTCCAGCCAACCGGATCAATGATGATGATGGGTCACAATTCACAAAACGCAAACACTCACACTAACTACTAGTCTACTACCAACTTACCAAGCCAGAGGAAGACAGTTCCTCTGCTACTAGTATCAAGTAAACCCGGGCAAAGCTCGGCTACTTGAATCAAATAAAGCACAACTGGCGCCATTGTGATCTCTTCTAATGGAAACGGGCAGCATTCTGATATATAACACATGCATGCATGGTGTAAACTGATGGACGAATAAGCTCCAAGGAGGAATTGGTAGCCTCTGGTCTGATCAGAAGCGAGCTCTAGCCTTTGGCCTTGGCATTCTCGATCCAATAGGGATAGATTTAACTTATTGCCAGGTGCCAATGACGACCACTAACTAGCTATAGCTACAAATAAAAAAAAGAAAAAAAAAAAAAAAAACTGTGAGATTGTACCAACGCCAACACCCAATTGGGAGGTACCATGCATGTGCAATCAAGCCCACGCCTGAGTACTCTCCTCTCCATTACAATATCACAAAATCTACTTCCTGCTGTTTGCCATAAGCATCCAAGAAATGACAGCAGAATGTAGATCATATCATCATCTTTCCGCTTCAATCATCCATCATAAGAGAAATCCTATATACATGCAAGATCTGAATTTCTATAATTATAGCCTTCTTTTTTCATATATATATATAGAGAGAGAGAGAGAAACAATTATTATAACAATAACTTGCACTAAACCAAACTATAGTTTTTAATTAATTTGTTAGTCTTTATCATCATTTAATACGTACTAATCTCATATGTCAGGGTTCAAAGCTAGTAATGGAAAAGAAAGCTGCTGATCAGATGAGATTAGTAATGGAAATTAAAAGAAGAGAGAATCCGTACGTGAGTGGCTTAGATTGAAGGCTCGTTTTAATCTAAAGACGACCCAACCCGCTTCGGATCAAGAAACGGAGAGCTAGCTCTGTATGTCTGACCTTTCCCTTTGACAGTTTGGATTATGTACCAGGGTGCCGGAAATCCAAGAAACTTGCAGATTTCTACGGGGAGGTGCTGGTGAGTATTTGTAGCACCCGAGGTAGTAGGGGAAGGAATTAATCAATTAATGTAGCAGTTTGAGAGCTTGTCTTGCTACGCCTGCGTTGTTTTTCTTGAGATGGGTTGTGTTCGATCTTTGCTTCTTCCTTGGTTCGTGAGGGTCAAGTCTTTTTTGGGTCTTTTGTTTTCTGTGCTGGGCCTACTGCCCTAGGCCTTATTGAGGTGGTTTGGCTTTTTGAGGGTCTTGGTTTGGTTTGCGGCTTTGGGTGTTGATGTGATATGGGCCTGGGCCCGTTGCTGATAGAGTAGAGACATGTGGGCAAGAAATCCAGTGCGATACCAATAAGTAACTTGAACTTATATATTTCATCAAAACCTTTGGACTCTTAAGATTTGGGTTTCTAGGTTTTGGTCCTATCAGATAACCCCAATGGTTAAGATGGTCACTTGGCAGTTGGCACCCGTTCAAATAGGAGGCATCTATAGGATAAAACCCATGAAAATGCAGGCTTTTCGTGATATGGCGCTAATGGGCCCTGAGTTCAGATTGATGCCCCACAGAGCGCCCCTCACATACATATTTCACCGTGCAATGGAACATTTTCCGTATTGATTGTCATGGGAGATGTTTCCGAGATGTGCTGTGGGGTGCCATGCAAATTCATGGGCCTCACATGTACCCTGCTTTGCCCCATCACCAGTTTGGTTCCCTTGTAATGTGTAGTATTAATTATGTAATAAAAGAGAGAGAGAGAGAAAAGAAGAATGATACCCATCAAATTTCAAATGGTTATTGAAAGGAGATGGGAGATAAATCAGTGATCGTGATTCTCATTTCTAGTTTCTAAAGATAAAGCAATTAATGATACCAAACCAAATAAATCAAGAAATATAGAATAATGATGACGTAGTAAAGAGAAAAAAAATTAAGGAGGATAAGAAATTATTGTGATTCAAACGGTTGAACTTGAAATGATAAGCTATCATGATATGATAGATTAAAGTCAAAAAGAATTAGCTGGTATAAGGCAAAGGCATTTAATCTTGTTTTGCACAGTGATCATTTTGAATGACAAAAATAAACATTATTAATTCATGGAAGATATATAAGTATTACAATTTATCTACTGAACTTGAACCGAAATGAAATTACAGTTTGATTTGAAACGAATACTTAAATATATATTGCCATCAAATCTCCAACTAATTAATGAAAAGCCAAATAAGAACTTACTAGTCAAGTGTGGTATGATCGTCATCCTCGTTGCTTCTCTCTATTTACTACTTTTTCTGGGTTTTTTTTTTTTTNGTAGCTGCTAAACTCTAAATTGAAGTTTTAATGGGTCTAAGTGCTGAAGCGGAAACCTTACAACATTGTCGTTCTTAACTCACATAGAATGAAAAAGGGTTTATGTGCCTTTTCACCGCTTTGGTGTAGAGACATTTTTATTTAACCAAAATTTTATAGATAGAAATTAGGCTCACAAGATATATTTAAGTTTGTTCATAATTTTAAGATATTCAATTTATGAAAACTTAGGATATATTTAAAATTTTTACCATTTAGTTATTTAAAACATTAAGGCCCCATTATCTGGGTAAATGTACTTATCCGGGTAAGTATTTTTTAAGAAAGATTTATTCGAGTAAACCTAATGACCATTTTAGTCATAAAAATTTATTTAAGTTTGTTGAAAAAATTTAAGGTATTCAATTTATGAAAACTTAAGATATATTTAAAATTTTTACCTAGGGGTGTTCACATTAAATGTCAAACTGACCAAACTGGCCCGACTCAGCCTGAGTTAGTCGATTGTTCAAAGTCATTAGTTGGTTTTGATTTGCATCAAAAAATAAATCGACAATTTGGTTCAGTTTCGGTTTTCATACAAGTCAAATCGAACTGAACCAATCCTATATTTTTAAATAATTATTAATTAGTCCCTACCCTATATGTTAAATGTTGATATATTTTATTTGTATTTTATTTTGAACTTTGAAAAAAAATGGTTATTTATGATAAAAACTAAAAACGTAAAACCAATACAAATATAATACAATGGTACAATATTTAATTCGGTTTTGTATAAATTTAAATATATATTGACAAAAAATCAGTTTTGCATAAAAAACTAATCGATTTAAATATATATTTTGGTTTTGCATAAAAAATAAAAAGAAATAAACTTAAATATAAATAGATATTTTAGTTTAAAAAATATATAAAACTGACTAAATCGATAAACTGACCCAAACTGACCCTTCATGTTTGGGTTGGTTTTGCTTCAGGGTCAATCGGTTTCGGTTTAGTCAATAAGTAAACCGATTAGGTTAGGTTGGTTGAAAAAAAATGACTCAAACCAACCCAACCTGACCCGTGAACACCCCTATTTTTACCATTTAGTTACTCGAGTAAGTATTTTCCAATAAAGATTTATCCAGATAAGTGTATTTGTCCATGTTCTTTTATTTCTTACTTTATCCACCTAATAGGTGAAACCTAGGAAAATAAATTTTCTTTAATCCCACATAAATCTGAAAAGAGAATATGGATTTCTTGCCCTCTCAAAATCAATAAAAAAAAAAAAACGCCCCCTAAGAGAGGTTTAAATATTTTATTAATAAACAAAGGGCCCAGTTTAAGTAATTGTTCCTAAAATCAATTTATGTAGTGACGTCTACTCCGCAAATTCACGTCAATGCTTAGGGTGTGTTTGATATGACAGAAGATAACAAGCAAAAAGTTGAGGAAAAAGCTTTTGACAACCCTTTTATTTTTGGGTAAAAATGTAAAACACAAAAACCTTCTTGAAGTTTTTAACAATCATAAAATCTTCCTCTATAATTTCATTTTAATAAATACCTCTCCTAAACTTTTGAGAAATTCAACAAAAACCTTCCTTCTATCACTGTCACAGAAAACGTTAGATTGATGCATCAATTTTTTTCAAATACCCATTTTATCATTTTGTAAAAAGGAAAATTCCCAATAGGTACCTTGTACTTTAGGCCGAGTGTCAATTTAGTATCCAAACTTTAAAATGCGACAATCTAGTACCTGAACTTTCATTTTGTGACAATCTAGTACCCGGCGTTAATCAACCGTTAAATGACATGCAAAAAGACAAAAATGCCCTTCAAGTGTAAACTCCCACCCTTGCTCCTCTGTGTAAATTCCCAACCTCCACGGCAACCGCTTCAAATGCCTGGACTGTGGACACGTTATTAAGAATGTCGAACAGCAATTTAAATACACTGAGGTGGGTGTTTCTTTCTTTCTTCGGATTATGCCCTTTCCCTTTGCATTTCTGCTTTTACAATTTTCGAATGTTGAGATGCATTTCCTTTTGGATGATTGGTTGCAGCCAATAATCTGCGCGAATGCGCTCTGTGCAAAAAGAACAAAGTGGGCATTGCTTTGCCAAGAGAGGAAATTTGCAGATTGGCAGAGGGTTCGGATGCAAGAGATACCAGCAGGCTCTCAAGCTTTCCAAATTTGCTTCAATGATACTGTCATTTGTCTTTCTTTCAAGGATTGGACGAGTATAATTGCATCTCATTTTCTGCTTCTACAGGATCATTTTCACGGGTACTGTTGTCGTAATACCTGGCATAATGGCATTAGCGTCACCGGGTAAGAGGGCTGAATGCCGCCGAGAAGCCTCCCAGCGTTAGAATTCTGCTGCTGGAAATGAAGGTGTTAGGGGTTTACGGGCATTGGGAGTGAGAGACCTTAACTATCGCCTTGCCTTCATTGCCAACTCAGTGCAGGTTGATCAGTTGAAGGTGTTCAGGTAGTTGTTTCGATGTCAGTCTGGCAAAATTTGTAAATTGCTTTTCAATGATCTCATTCTTATTGGTTTTGCTACGGGTGGCTGATGGGTCTCATCAAATTTCTTCCATTCAATGAGCTCACTCTGCCCTCCTTACTTCGGTTGTACCTGGATGGGTGTTTCATATCGGAGTCCTAGATAAAGTTCATTCGTTCTTCACTTCTTGCGCAAATACTTATCTCGTATATGTGATGCAGACTAAATATAGAACGCCATGACCACCGATCCTTCTTCTTTGTGTCTAGGCCTTGGCCCATTTATCTCATTGTTGGCATCATATATACGGCCATCTGAATGTTTTCTGTAGATCATTTTCCCACACGCCTGTTGTACTTGAGGTTGAGGACTACTGTCTGTCCAAAAAAAAATGGTTGACCCCAGATCCTCCATGATGCCACTATGCCTCAAGCTCTAGATTCCCTATTAAGGGGTTTCCATGTATACATGCCATGAAAGCATCCAACAACGTTCAGCCTTCAATGAAACATGTTGCCGAATGAACATTTTTTCCTAGTGGGCCTTATCATTTGCATTCTACATTTCTTTTTTTTTTTTTTTTGGTAACAATTTGCATTCAGAGGATGAGTGTCTTTCTTTCAATCCTCTGACAGGAAGAAGAACTAGATAGCATTCTTCAGACGCGTTAAGCACCCCAATATTGTAAGGTTAAGGGCTTATTACTGGGCTGCTGATGAAAAGTTTCTTTGGTGGCGATGTTGGGGTGGAACCGGGCATGGCCGGAGCCATTGTTGCAAGCATTCTTCGATGCGGTGAAGAACGTCTGGCTGGTGATGGAGGGAGGCTTCACCTCCATCAAGAGATTTGGGTTCCCGGAACCTGATCTTCGTTTTCAAGGGTAATTTTGATATTTTTAAAAGTCTTAAATCGCACATGAGGTTACGTAATATACATAACTGATGGTCTATTAACGGTAGGTACTAGATTGTGGCAAAATGAAAGTTCGGGTACTAGATTATTGCATTTTGAAGTTTGGGTACTAAATTGGCACTCGACCTAAAGTATAGGGTACCTATCAGGAATTTTCCCCTTTTATAAATTATTTTACATACAAAATTACTGAAATAACTCTATTTTAACTCAACAAAATACATATTTTAGTAATTTTGTATGTACTGAAATGATCGTTAAAGTAGATTTTTGTTAAGTTAAAACGGAGTTATTTCAGTAATTTTGTATTTAAATAATTTATAAAAGGGTAGAATGGATATTTGAAAAAAAACTGATGCATCAATCTTACGTTTTCCATCTGGGACAGTGATGGAAGAGAGGTTTTTGTTGAGTTTCTCAAAAGTTCAGGAAAGATATTTGTTAAAATGAAACTACAGGAGAGGTTTTATGATTGTCAGAAACTTCAAGGGAGGTTTTTATATTTTACCCTTTATTTTTTTATCAAATCAAACCAAACGTAGTCTTGGGCGAACGGGTAATCTGACGTGGATAAGTGACTGAATTGGCGTCCCGTAATTGGGGGCAGGTGCTACCCACTGTTATCTCGGGGGCATATTTGTAATTCGAATACCATCATGTTTATTTTTCGTTTTCTTTGTCATTTTTTTCGAGCAGAACCCGCCAGAAAATGGGAAGTTTCCGTTTCCATCTCCGCCCATGCTAGAGTTTGCATCGCAAGCCGATCTCTCTGTCTTCTGTTCTAACTTCCAAGTACCAGCAAAGCAATTCGGAACTCGAATTATCGAACTTCACTAATGGCGGCAGTGACAAGCTACTGGGTGGTTTCCCTTCCCGTTCAAGCATCTGCTTCATCCCTTTGGACTCGTTTACGGGAAGAGATCTCCAAGCACTCCTTCGACACTCTTGTTTACCGGGTAAATTTAACCAGAACAACATGTTCAAGCATTTCTTCAAGTCATATCTCCAAATTAAATAAAATATCTGTTTTTTTTTTCTCAAAATTTGATTGAACCTTAGTATATAGTTTATATATTTTTCTTTAAACTTTGCAGTTCAATACGCCTGATCTCCGTGTAGGAACTCTAGATTCTCTTCTGTCACTCAGCGACGATCTTTTGAAAGTAAATAATTCATGATTCAAAAACCCAATTCCTTATCTCCTCATTTTACGTTGAAGTTTTTAACTTTTCCTTTCTTTCGATTTGTGGGGTATGTAGTCAAATAGTTTCGTTGAAGGAGTATCTCACAAGATTAGGCGTCAGATCGAGGAATTAGAGAGGACCTCAGGTGTTGAGGGCGGTGCTCTGAGGGTCGATGGGGTCCCCATTGATTCATACCTTACCCGGTAATATGTTATTTGGATTAATATGGAATTCAAGTACAAGTAAGAGATGAAAGATTGTGATCTTACGCGGAATTTTATTGTCATAAAACTGAATCTGATTTTGCAATGGAAGATTCGTATGGGATGAAACAAAATACCCTACCATGTCACCCCTCCAGGAGATTGTGGATAGCATACATGTTCAAGTAGCCAAAATTGAGGACGATCTCAAGGTAATGAATGCTTCTTCTTGTTGACTGGATTTAGTTGGTCTTTTTTATTCTATTACTCTAGCTGTCCTTTTATAATGTTATTACTTGTTACGTAAATGGACAGTTATGCAGAGAGTTGCCAATTTATAGTCATATGTTTCAAATAATAAAGGTACCCATATATAGTGGACTGTTGAAGATCTCTGGCCTGAACATACATTGGAAAAAGCAAACCTAGCACCACTTTGCCTCAAGTCTTTGTTTAGGGCGGAACAGTGAACATTCTTGTAGCTCCATTGACAGGTCATTGTAGGGTCTAGGACTAGTAGTGTACAAATACTGACAGAATAAAGGGAGTTTATTGGTGGTATTACCTGGTTTTGAAATAGAGCGCTGAAGGTTGAATTCCATTATGGTAGTTGAAGTTGCACAAAAATTTGCCTACTCAATTGTGAAATTCTTCTGCAGATACCAAGCACCTTACATGCAAGATAACATCCATCTGGTCACAGTTTGTGAATTTCCTTCTACTAGAATTCCTTTCCAGAGAGATGCCAATGCAATCCTCTGCCCCTCTGAAGTAGAGTAGATTGTCAAAACAGATTGCAGACAATAGTTTCATTTAGAACAATTTCACTTTATCTTCTTTAGATTGATCCTTGTCTTTGGAATTTTTATTTTCCTGACTTTTCCAGGTACGCGTTGCTGAGTATAACAATGTACGCAGTCAGCTTAATGCAATAAACCGAAAGCAAGGTGGAAGGTATTATTTGAGGCTACAAAACCTTTTAGGATTGAATCTTTCAAAAAATAGGGTATGATGTTATATACCCAAAATGTGTATCTTGAGGAAGGTAATGGACTAGGAGGTGAAAATTGTAGTGTACATTAGATGATGCACTTTGATATGCAAAATGACAAATACAACTCATGACCCTAGGAAACAACAATTGTCAAGGCATAGAACTGTCTCTATACAGAAAAGCCCTTCTATCTCCAATCTTGCCATTTTACTGGCAGGTGAATTGAGCTCTTTTGAAAGTTGAAATCTATCTGAACAGACATTGAGGGTAAAATTCCCTTTGATATGAATAGACATTGAGCTCACTAGGAGTCCATCTGTTCTTGCATTGTCTTTTATTACTAGGTAATTTGCATGTGGAACTCCTATTAAGATTTCTTTATCTGATCTGTCTTTACATAATTGCAGCTTAGCTGTCCGTGACCTTTCAAATTTGGCGAAGCCAGAGGATATAATTACAACGGAACATTTAGTAACGCTCCTTGCAATTGTTCCTAAGTATTCACAGAAGGACTGGTTGTCAAGCTATGAAAAACTTACTAATTATGTGGTAAGATTTGTTTATGGATCATTAGATTTTTTTGCCGATGATGGTTCAGCAGAAAGACTGCTTTTGAATCTATGGATGACTTACTAATTATGTTGGTATATTTTAATGTTATGTGATGGACTTTAGGTCTTGCATCTTTAATATGAGAACATGAAATGAAGTATTTCTTGACTAGATGTTTCAAAGAATCTGACATGAAGATCACTTCCATGAGATGCTCCAATTGGAATACATGGAGCATCAGGGTGTGTGTATATATATATTCAGGAGCCTCTATTCTCCGTGCTAAGATATATGGTTTGGCTAATTGTTTACTCTGTGTTTTCTACCAATTGCTATGGTTTGTTTTTGGACAATAATTGTTATGTTTTAGGTTATGGCAAGTGCTTGAGGAGGATTGGTTTTTCTTTGGTTTACGTTTAGTTGGTTTTTTGAGATTTGGGAGAGGATATCTGAAACATTGAGGTGATTTCTTTGAGAAAAGGAGCTGAAGGTTTTTCTAGCTGTTTTGGGTGGGCTTGGGCCATTCTGTTGTTGTTGAGTCTTGGTGGTAGCATGTTGTGTTTTTCCAAGTGTTTTTGTGGGTTTGAGCATGTTGAGCTTCGTTTCATTAGGGTGTTTTTTTTTTTTTTTTTTTTGGGGGGGGGGGGGATCTTTTGCTTTGTTTGAGGTGAAACCTTGTCACCAGAATTTGTATTCTCACTCCATTTTTCTTTTTTAATGAATTTCTCCTTGTGGTCAAAATAATGATATGTATTAATTAAGCTAAACTATTTTAGGTTCCCAGGTCCTCCAAGAAGTTGCATGAGGACAATGAATATGCCCTTTACACTGTTATGTTATTCGGACATGTTGCTGATAATTTCAAAACAAGCACACGTGAAAAAGGTTTTCAGGTGAATTTTTCATGCACTATTTTTTTTTTTGAAAAATAGCCTGACCTCATGGATCGGATCTCTTAAAAGTTTACTTGCTGGTATTCTCAGGCAAAATGGATTCAAAATGCATAGCAAATTTTAAACTAATCATTCTTACTTATATGAGATTGATTTTGGTGGAAGATGTCTTCATAATAGGGGCTTGTATTGTTATTTTTTGTGATTCAGATTCGTGAATTTGAATATAGCCCAGAAGCACAGGAAGGTCGAAATAGAGAGATGGAAAGACTCATGGAAGATCAGGAAACTTTGAGAGGTTCTCTTCTTCAGTGGTGCTATACTAGTTATGGGGAGGTAAAATTTATATTTGTAGCCATATTGTCCTTGGGCATTCAATAGTTTCTAAATTGGAAAATCTCATTCTTTTCCTTTGCAGTAAACCTACATTTCTAGGCAAATACTAATATTCAGTTTCAAAAACTTGTGTAGTCTTTCATTTGTACTTAAAACAGTTTCTTATTTCAAGCAGGACAAGAGAATGCAACTAAGTTATTATTGCATATATGTTAACTTCCAGAGGTATTTCAACCTAACATTTAGTTGGTACCTGACCTCAAATGGTTGGGATTAAGGAGTTAGTTACATAGGTCAAAATTTTTCTTGTTTTCAAGACCGCCTGATTGCTTGAAGTTGGGAGATCTTAATCTATCCATCTTCTTTGCCTTCAGTAATATCCAAGAAGTCTGGTAAATTGGAAAGTTAAGTTAGATTGCTTTAATTTGTTTTGTCTTTCAGGTGTACTTTCAAGTTGCAACTTTTTTCTGTCCATGTTATATTCCAATTTCCATGTTACAGAGTATCCTCTCTAAGCTTTATCTCATGCTTTCTCTTTAAAAATTGCCAATTATGGGAAAGATTTTGAGTAGGCAGGTTTATGGTTAATTCTTTCAAGATTACTGTTGATTCTAAAGCTGTTTAGTGATCAAGTAGTAGTGATTCTTATGTACAAAAATGATAAGAGTATATCAAAAAACAATAGCATAAAACTTTAGATATCTTCCACTGGTACTCTTTCTTGTATTGCCAACTCTAGAACAGTTTTTTTCTCTTTAAATAATCTAGTTACTAATACTATTGTATTACTCCTATTACTATATTTTGTATATTGATCTTTATCTTGTGATTTTTTTTTGTTGTTTTCTGTTGGTACATTATTTCAGGATTTCGTTTTGAATGATTTGTTTTGCAGGTTTTTAGCTCTTGGATGCACTTCTGTGCTGTACGTGTCTTTGCAGAGAGCATTCTGAGATATGGCTTGCCACCCTTGTTCTTGGTAACATGGCTTCTTAAGAATCCTCAAATTTATAATTGGATTTTTTAACCCTGGATCAAACTTTTGATGAATTATTGGTCCTTGAACTGATTTCAGGCAGCAGTTTTGGCTCCATCCATTAAAAGTGAAAAGAAAGCACGCTCTATCTTGGAGGGGCTGTGTGACAGCACACATAGGTGAGTTATAAGTATATGACATTTATAGTGTCCCTCACTAAGTGTTTTGAAAGAGAGAGGGACAAGAAAAGCACAAGGGCTTTCTAGTGCCTGAGGCACAAGGTGCAAGGCACATACTCAAACAAAGCAAGGTGCAAACGTTTTAAAAATTTCAATAAAAAATTTAATATATAAAAATATGCAAATTTGAATTTTAATAGAACTAAATGTTTTAAAAACTTATTAGCTCTTATCAAAATGTATAAGCATGAAATACAAAATAAATTCAATGTGAAAGTGAAAGAAAACAAATATGAATTATACCGAACTGCAACAAATCAAGCATATGAAATTCTTAACATGTTTGCTAATGTCCTAGTTTTTTTTTTTTCAGTAGGGCCTATGTCCTAGTTGAATCACTTAATATAGCTATTGTGATATTAGATGTCTTGAATTTCTAATCCTAGGAGATAGGGGCTTTTACGGAGGCAGAGTGCTAGTAAGCCCAGAGGTTCAGGATCTATGCCCGAAACTTGAATTTTTTGCCCATAAAGATAAAGGGTTGATTTGTGATTTTGGTAATTTGATCATAGTTCATTTATTTTTGTGTCAAGGGTTAGAGATTATCTGTATTCTTATTGCTCATTTAGGTTGGTTTGCAGAAAGGAAGGGATAAAATGGAATATTCTCAAAAATTCTTTTCTTCCCATGTTTGGTTTGCGAGATGTTATGATATGAGATGGGAACATCTAGGATTGTAGTTTTCAATTTCTGGGAAGTAGTATCACACAATTTTGGTGTGAAAAAGTGAGGAAGGCTAGTCTAACACATGTTAGGAGATGAAATGGGAAATGTCTAGGATTGTACTTATCAAAATTTTTTTTTTTTTTTTGGTAAATGGGATCACACAATTTTGGTGTGAAAAAGTGGGAAGGAGGAAAGGCTTGTCTTACACAAACTATCTCCATAAAAAGAAAAGCACTTTCTTTCTTGTTAGGGCTAACATTCCCATTCTTTTCCCTTGTGCAACCAAACAATAGAACATGAAATGATTGCATCCAGTCTTCCTTTATCTTCCCATCCCTCTAAAATCTTCCTGCAAACCAAACCTATCATTAGTGGAAATTTTGCTACCTAAGATCCTATATGCAACAATTTGGGCTTCAGGTATTCAAAGGGTCATTGTTTTTGTTTCTTTTAAAAGTTAATAGACTATTAGAAAGCTTTAACCGTTTAAAACACAAAAGTGCACAACAAATAACTAAAAGAGCATATTTATGAAAGGTGAGCATCTGGGTGCCCTTGTGCCTTAGCCTAGGCAGCATATTTGAAAAAAGGCTATGAGGTACACCTTTTAAAACACTGCCCCCACCCCACCAGAAAGTAAATAAAACAAGTTGCATTAATTATTGTATAATGTTTATGTCACAACCTAGTGGATCGACAATGGCCAGAGGAGAAGAGAATCTTTTTAGGTAACGATAGGGAATGCATGATATGTGTGGTGCATCTGCAGGAGGTTATGCATCCCCTGTCCTATAACATCTAGTGATCCCAGTCGGCCCAATAGCTCAACAATCCCCCACTGCAAACATAAACCTTTATGAATTGATCCCATTCTAAGTAAGTGGTTCCATCTAGTCTTATGGTAGTCACAGCATTGTAGAAATTATCCACAAACTTGACTGGACCAATATAAAAATAAATCAAGCCTGAACAGGGGATTGTTGAGGTATTGGGTTGCAACCTTTATAAAAATAAATCCAACAATACAATGATGTAAAAGCTGCCTAAGAAGAATAATGGAAATAAAGCAATAGGAGAAAACTAGAAAACATAAGAGAATTTAGAGATAGAAAAGTTCATGGAACAAGCTCCCACAAGAAGGTACAATTGAAACTATTTCATTGAATCAATCACTCAACTTACTCTAGGGCAATCAGGTTTCTACTAGGCCAGCCTACCTTGGCTGTTTTTCTAGTATTCTCTATTACCTTGATCTCGGTCCTTGTGAAAGAAACAAGTTCTTAATGTGCTAGAACTAAGACATTACATGTGAGTTGCACTCGAGACAATTTCAACTCAATCTATTAGCTAATTTCTTTAAGATTTAAAGAAACTATTCCTGTGCAATTTTGAAAGTAAAATGAAGTCAATGCCCAGAAATATAAAAATCATATAATGCCACTAAAGGAGAAACTGGGAGATGATGATTCTCTTCTAATCTGGTTGAAATTCTTGGAACTTGAACTGCCCATCCTTGTTTGGCATCCCTGGAGGTGTCATGCTTGTGGGCCAATGGTGGGTTTTGCCACTTTCTGCCCCTTCTCTCTGATGGAGTATCACCTCACGCCTCATGGGGCTTTTTCTAGGCTCTATTAATTGCTTAGTTCTTCAGCTGAATCAAGCTTGAATTTGAATTTGAAGCCCAGTAGATTCTTGTTCTCCATTTGTCCTGGCAAGGATTTCTCCTCGAGTGGTTGACAAAATGCAAGAATGATAATTTGTCCATTATTGTTCAGTTTTATCAAGAGCAGGAGTTGGGATTTGGGCTTTAGGTTTGTATGGGATTTTTCTTTGTTTTTGTTGCACCAGAGGGGCTAAATAAATTGAATTATTGTTTTTGTTGCACCAGAGAGGCTATATAAATTTTACTGCAAAATAAAAATGCAATGTTAAGTGGCATGTGTCTCATTCTAACTTTAGAATCATATTCTTTCCCAAGTAAAATCAGAAAGTTAGCTCATATCCTTCAATCACAACTCAAATCTAATTTAATTAAAAAACCTAGCATATAGGCTTTCAAGATATTACATTGCCTGGACCATTTTCTAGATAAAGTGCATTGTTTTCACAGGTTGACAGCTAAAGTCATTGTTCAGTTTTAGCCTCTTCGTGACAGCCTGAACGGTTTTGACTATACTAGGCCTCATAATGTTTGCCTGGATCTCCTGAAAACAAAAACTGTGCGAACACTCTGAGGGCATGGCATCCAGCTGCACATCGGGAGTATCTCCCATACTTGTTAAATTCATGGAGAGGTTCCCAATGTGCAGCTGAATGGTCATCCTCTCAGTGTTCTCATGGTTTTTTCTTTCCAGAAATCCCTCCACTCATAATGTTGCCTGAAACCAGACTGAAGTCACTATAAGACTACTTTTCATTTGTACTAACGTGCATTTACGCATTTATCAATTTATGCATATAATTCATTCCTTGCAGTCCATGACTTGTAGATCCATAGATGATCAATATATTTTGTTACAGCTCCTACTGGAAATCTGAAGATGAAGGAGGGATGGCTGGTCTAGGATGTGATGCTGATGCTCATCCGTATGTCTCCTTCACAATCAATATTGTTTGAACTAATTAACTACAAGTCGGATTTTTGTGTTGCCATCAATCTGGATCCCTATTTATAGGATTTCTTTTAGACTGCAATAGCAATTGATGGGGATCGGAAACACTGTATAGTAGAATAAGTTACATGATTCTTTTATTGTTTATTTAGATTATATATACAACTAGCTTTATCTTCATTCATGGGCTCTTTTTCCCTGTTTTTTTGGGGCCTCTTCGGAGGCAAAATGTTTTCCTTTATAATGAATTTTCTTGGGCAGGGGGAGGGGACGGTGTTTGGACTTGCTAAATTTTGTATCTTATTTTACCTGGAGGTGAAATCTAAATATTATCATAATCCAGACAACTTGATGCAAATGGCTGCAGGTATACCTTTTCCTAACGAGACAACATTTTCTGCCTTCTCACCAATCAAAGGACAAAAAAAAAAACTGCACTCTTTTTCTTCCTTTGGTTATTAAGGCTCAGTTTGGGAAAAGTGCAAATACAAATATTTAGTTATTTACAGTGTAAAACCTTGTGTGCAGTATTTCTAAACATTGTTTTTGCACTGCACATACTTGTATTTGTACTCTTTCCAAACTGAGCCTAACGTTTTTGCATTATAAAAAAGAGAACTGAAAAGGGGGGAGGCGTAAAGCCCAGATTCGGATATATAAAAGAAGCCCAGATGCGCTGACACGCCATATGAAAAAAGCCCAGATTTGGATGTGGCTATGACTTGTGAGATTCCTAGATTTCCTGGTTTTTACCGGTGGCGCCTGTGATAGAAGTTTCTTGCATTGTATCCATCGCCATTCCATTCCATGATATTTTTTGAGTCTGTTCCTTGGGTGTGTTAATGAGCTTGTTTTAGGTGATATATGTCAGCCTAATTCGACCTGGGTTACTTAATAAAAAAAAAATCCACCTGGGTTTCTCATGGGTAAAAATATACTGTTTGGGTTCATCTAGGTCCATTATGGGACATTAGAGGATTAAACTTTAAACGAGCCAGTTTGGAGAAATACCACGCCTTAACTATCAAAGAGAATCGCTCTCCAATTCTATTGATTCGACTTCAAAATTTAGAATTAAATGGCACATCGTTATCGCCTGCAATCCTACTTCCAAAATGCTTTAAATCGCCTGCAACCCTATTTCCACAGCTAAGCTTTACCAATGGTTTTGTGTTATGGGCCCGAGCGTAGGATCGCGTCACGGGTCGCTCCACCGCAGGAACCTCAGTTCTTTCCTTGCCTTTGGCCTTGCGTACAGGCCCTATTTTGACTATCTCAGGGGTGATTTGTCCAAGAGATCACCAAACTCTCTTTCACTCCCTTTCACTCTCTTTCTTGACTGAATATTCGATATCCTCATTCAATAATAGCGTCTCCTTAAATAGGAGATTACAAGAGGAGGGTTCCTTGTTGGATTCAGCTAGATTAGTCCTAAACGGACTCAAACTCCTACTTCTAATTAGACTACTTATTTTTAATGGTACTACAATTCCTTTTAAGAATAGGGGATAAGATAAGGGAGAATGGGATAAGGGATAAGGGATAAGGCGCGTTCTCTTGTCGTGTCTGGATAAGGGTGGGCCCACCCTATGAGCTGTCGTGTGGGCCCCGCTCTGCTGCTGCTACTGATGCGCATGCGCGCGGCTCATGGTAATCGCCACCGCGCGGCGTGCGCAGTGCTGCGCGTGGTGCCGCTGCCGCGCGGTGCTGCGCGCGACTCATGGTGCCACTGCCGTGCGGTGCCTGTCGTGTGCGCGCTACTGCCTCAACTGCTGCCGTGTGGTGCGGGTGCTCATAACATCACTCCCCTCCTGGACTACGAGCTTGTCCTCAAGCTCGAGGTCTRGATAAGCGTTGTGGAGGTCGGTCCAGGGAATCCAGGTCGCCTCTGCTAGGGGTAGTCCCTCCCATTCGACTAAAACCTCAAAGGTGCCTTGATGGATGCAGGACCGGATGAGGGCACGGGGCTGGAGGATAGGTCTGCCCTCCTGCAAGAGGGGTAGGGGAGGCACATGATCGGGAGGGGTGCCAACATAAAGCTTTAAGAGGGATACATGGAAGATGTCGTGGATCCTGCTGTGCTCCGGGAGCTCGAGTTGATAAGCTACCTTCCCTATCTTCCTTAGAATCTTGAAAGGCCCGTAGAATTTGGGGGCCAGGTTAGGGGGCCCCCGGCGCCTGAGGGACAGCTGCCTGTATGGTCGGAGTTTCAGCCAAACGTACTGCCCTGGTTCGAAGGTGACTTCGCGGTGCTGCTGATCGTAGGCGTGTTTCATACGTGCCTGCGCCTGCTGTAGGCGCAAGGAGACTTCGGCCAGGAGGGCATCATAGGCTTAGAGGCTGCGGTCCACTTCTTCCAGCCGCGTTGAGCCCGGCTCGTAGGACAAAAGGCGTGGAGGATCTCGGCCGTACACAACTTTGAAGGGAGTCATTCCAAGGGAGGAGTGATAGGATGTATTGTAGCAGTATTCAGCCCATGGGAGGTACTCCACCCAGCRSCRCGGCTRGTCSCCCACAAAGCAGCGAAGGTACATCTCAATTGTCCGGTTCACCACCTCTGTTTGGCCGCCTGACTGTGGATGGTAGGCTGAGGAGAAGGCGAGG